GTTTGTTACAAAGATATAAAAGATTGGAAGCAATTAATGAAGTTACTAGAATTATTCCCATAGTCATGCCAATATTATTTCTCCCACAAATGAAGCTCCAGCAGTATGAAAACTTTTCATCTTTTTCTCTATTTTTCTGATGTGCATGTGTATGTGTATGTGTGCACTAACACAGGATCATGCATATTGGTGGTGCATTTAGGAAAAGGACATATAAAGAGAATCAGAATACTATTTACTGTTCATCTCATTAAACTTACTGATATCAATGATTTCTAATGAAAGAATAGGTGAGAAAATGTAACTAAGTTCACAGTGATAAGGAATAAATCAAGACAAATCTCAATACAAATAAAAATTTAAGACTGAAATGGGTTCATTAATCTTCACCATAAAATCTGTAGTACATACAGATACATGTCACTGTGCCAGTACATAACCGGGTTCCTTTTTCATAATCCAGAGTCTGTTAATATCTACAGAATTGTCTTGCACAGTTTGTCTTTACAAACCTCTATTGTTCACAGAGCTTAATGCATTATATATCAAATATCTAGAAAGAACAAACAAGAACTATAGCAGAATAAAGATAGGGAAGGTTATTGTATATATTTTAGGGTGAATGAATCAGAAGTGATTTATTTATGAGTGATGAATACAAAAATATTCAAAAACATATTTGACATCTTCTAAAATAGATAGCATTATTTTCTTTATAAAATTGAAGCAGAAGTCAGACAATACCAAGATAAGATATAAAATATAGGAAAGTTGCATGTAGAAAAAGAACTCAAAGAATATAAAACTGTGAGAGAAAAGTTAAAATCATAATGGAGTCGGGCTTTGACACATATCATCCACAGAAAGCCAAAGAAATGATACAAAGCTAAATAAACTATTTCTAAAATAAAGAGAAAAAGTTGAAAAACATATTTACAATTCTATTAAGAAACAAACTTGACAAGAAATGTACTTATTACCTTACTTTTGTAACTGTAACCCTCTGTACATCACCTGAACAATGCTAAATTTTTTTAAAAAAAAATTAAAATATAAAAATTAAAAAAACAGTTAATGGGTCTCAATGCTTAAAAATTATTTTGTCACAACAAAAAATATAAAATAGGGATTTGGAGGAAGATGGTGGAGGAGTAACTGGAGTGTAACTCAACTCACTCTCGAAGAAACCAGTTTTAGTGTTCCAGTGAAAAGGCCAAGGCTAGAGAGTCACACCAAGTTTGCAGTCATAGTACAGAGAGTTTGGCCAGAGAGGAAAAAAAAAAAATCAGGCAGTCTACTTAAGAAGACAGATTTGAGCACTCGCTGGTGACCACAGTAATAACAGAGGCAGTGGCCTCTACTGCCACCATATCAACAGACACAGCCTGGGACAAAGGCACCAGGGATGAGTGAGAGCAGCTTCTACTCATAGCCAGTGTGAACTGACAAGGAACAGAAATCTTCATCCTGTTGACCACAGACAGACACAGACCGTGGATGGCCTGAAAAGTAAGGGAAAGTCATGAGTACCCCACAAGACATTCCCACTCCTTCTCACAGAACAGTATTTAGAAGGTAACCCCTTACCCACCAACCAAGAAGAATGCCATGTTTGATAATGGCAAAGACTGAGTCAGAGCAGCTAGCAGATAACTCTAACTCACATCTTAGATATAGACAATTCAGAGCCACTTTTCAATAAGGCAAAGGAACCTGACCTGCAGAACTCAGCTCCACTTAGGGGAAAGTTACCCTGCCCAAGTAGGGGAAGCCCCGCCCAAGGGGGGGGGGAGCCCCACTCAGGGCGTGATGACTTTCTTCCCTGGGTAAACACAGCTAGAGGCAGGTTGTCCCTCTGCATCTCAAGAAGCTGTCCTACCTGCTGGAGGTTAAAAGATAAACAATTCAAAACTGGATCTGGCTAAATCCTGAGAGTGGCTCCAGGTTGGGCTTCAGGGTGTCTCAGGAGCTAGCCTTTCAGGAAAAGCTACTAATTATAGACAAGCCACAATCCTACCCACATTCAAACTCCCTGAAAGCAACTCCAAGATAGAGTAAGCAATCATCTCCCAAGAGACTCACAAAGGAGATGACCCTCCCACAGAACTAATCTCGGAGTAGTAACACAAAACCCCCTGCTTTTTCCTGCTCAAACAAACTGATTTAATAAACCAACTAAGCCACAGAAAAACCAAACACCACAAGCAAATCAGACACTCCACCAAGGAACTGGTTACTGATACAGGGTAGACACAAAATCTCCAAATAAAGCAAAGAATTCTTTTTTCTATGTATTTATTTTTTTTCTACTTTCTTCATTATTTTTTTTCTTTTTTTTCTTCTTTTTCCTTTTCCCTTTTGGTATTTTTTTTCTTTTTTCACTCTACTTAATTGCTGTTCTGTTCATTCCCAGATATGTAGTCATCATTGATTATTAGGCCAGATCCTAAATTTGGGGCATACTTAATTCAGTTATCAATTATTTAATTCTCAATTTCTCAATCTTAGTTCCTTTCATTGTAGTATTATTTCTTTATACTTATAGAATTTTTTAAGGATTTTTCATTTTTATTGGTTATTCTTCTTTGTAAGTTTCTTTTCCACTTTTTTCTCTCTTTTTCTGTCTCTGAATTTAGGTCTTAGTTATCTTCCCTCTCTTTGTTACTTTCCCTGCATTCCTCTAATCTTAAAATTTATCTTCCCAATTCTCCCTAAACCTCTTAATTTCTGGTCTCCAGGCTCTGTCTTTGATTTTCTTAGTCCATTGATCCCTAGTTGTTTGTTGTTGAGCTAGATTCTATCTGTACTCATTTTTATTATGTCAAAAAAAAATCTGTGCAACTACAGGACTCTGGTTTGATGCTTGCCTTAAAATAGTGTTCTAGCATAGAATGGTTTTGCTTTCATACCCAGTTGCACAGAACAAGGCAAAAAAATGGTGAGGGAATTTCAACAACCACTCATGATAAACAGGCAACAGAGCAGTTAATGAATAATCCAGAGGAAAATTCTCATAATGCTCTATGAACACTACTGGAAAACATGCTGAATGAAAACTGAAAGCCTGTAAAAGGCTCTCTGCTCCCATGATGGAGCACGTGTGAGTGTGATGAAGATAACCAAAGGTTAATAGAGGAATGCATGGAATCCACAAACAGAAAGCTGATTAATTCTACCTGAAGGGAAACAAAAAACCAAATCAAGGAGGTAAAAAAGCCCATAGAAGATCTAAAACAAAGCTTCAACAAAGAAATTGAAGTGATCAAATCTGTCCAATTAGAAAGAAAGGAAATAGAAAACAAAGTAGAAAGTCTTGACAGTAGGTTAGACCATGCAGAAGATCAAATTTCTGTGATTGAAGATAGCCTAGATATTACAGAGAAAGAACAGACAAGTATCCAAAACAAGTCCAAGAAATATAATAGATCCATTCATCAGAAGGCCTAATTAAGGCTAATGGGTAATAAAAGGGGCCTAGACACAGAAGCTAAAGGACTAGGAAATTTATTTAACAGAATCCTAGCAGAGAACTTCCTAAACATACAAAAAGATAGACCCATTCATACCCAAGAAGCCTTAAGAACCCCAAATAGACCAGACTAGAATAGGACTTCCCACCATCATATTGCAATCTCACAGGATCAATAGAAACCCAAGAAAGGATACTTAAAACTATCAAAGAGAAAAGATCAATCACCTATAAAGGGAAAAACAATCAGAAAAACTACAGATTTCTCCACAGAGACCATGAAAGCAAGAAGAGCCTGGAATGATATATGCTATCCTAAAGGAAAACAACTGTCAACCACGAATACTGTACCAAGCTAAACTCTCTTTCATAATGCAGGGGCAAATACAAACCTTCCAGAGCAAAGCAAAATTGAAATAATATATCTCCACTAAACTGACATTACAAAAGATAATTAAAGATGTCCTACACAAAGAAAACCAACAAAAGTCTGATAAAGGCCAATAAACATCCTCGAAACATAGAAACAGACAATCGTATCAAGAACTCAGTAGGCCCCCAAGAAGGTGGATAACATGGCAGGAACTACCAAACACCTCTCAATACTAACTTTCAATATTCATGGACACAACTCTCCAATTAAACATCATAGATTGTCTATTTGTATCAAAAAGCAAGATCCTTCTATGTGCTGCCTTCAAGAGACACACCACGCCCACAAAAATAAACATACTCTGAAAGTGAGACTGTAACAAAATCTATCAAGCAATCAGCCCCAATAAACAGGTATGAGTTACAATCCCAATATCAGATAAAATAGCTTCAAATTAAAATTAGAAAGGAGAGATAAAGAAGGATCTTATGTACTAATAAAGGGATTGCTACTACAGGAGAATATAAGAATTCCTAACATCTATTTACCAAATACTGGAGCACCCAAATTCATCCAAGAAACACTATTTTCCTAAAACTCATACATAGATACAAACTCGTTGATTGTTGAGGACTTTAACACAACACTCTCCCCATGGATAGATCAACCCAGCAAAAACTCAACAGACAAACCTCAGATCTAAACAACTGGATAGACCAACTAGACCTAACAGACATCCACAGCATATTTCACCCAGCAGCATCAGAATACACATTCTTTTCTGCAGCACATGGAACATTCTCCAAAACAGACCACATTTTATGTCATAAATCTAGTCTGTCCAAATTCAGAAACATTGAAATTATGTCCTGCATTCTCTCAGAGCACATAGGAATAAGATTGGAATTCAACACCAAAAGCCACCAAAGAAAATCCTGTAACACATGAAGACTGAACAAAACACTGTTGAACCACAAGATGGTCATGCAAGAGATTAGAAAGGAAATTCAAATGTTCATGATATTAAACAAAAATTAACATAGAAAGTATGAGCTTCTCTTGGACACAGCAAAGGAAGTATTTAGAGGAAAAGTTATAGTTCAGAGTTCCAACATCAACAAATTGGAGAGATCTCAAACCAACAATTTAATGGGGTACTTGAAGCTCCTTGACAAAGAGCAACCAGCTAAACTCCAATCCATTAGACAGAAACAAATAATTATAATTAAATCAGAATTAGAGTTCAAAAAAATCATGGAAACATCAAATTGAAAATATTAACAAAATTGGCAGCTTTTCAGCAAATCATACCAGAAAAAGAATTGAGTACCCACAAATAAACAAACTCAGAGATGAGAATGGAAGTATCACCACAGAAACAACCAAGATTCAGAACTTTATAAGACAATACTCTCAAACCTTTATGCCATGAAATCTGAGCATATGGAAGGAATGGAAGGATTTCTAGCAAATATTGATATGCCCAAACTAAACTAAGAACATTTAAATCAACTAAACAGACCCACATCAAGCATTGAAATAGAAACAGCAATGAGTGACCTCCCCTCCAAGAAAAGCCCAGGACCAGATGGATTCATAGCTGGATTCTACAAGGTTTTCAAAGCAGAAATCAGACTTATATTCCCCCAACTCTTCAATGAAACTGAAAGTGAAAATTCACTCTTTCTATGAAGCCAGCATAAACCTCATCCCAGAACCAGACAGGGACTCATCCAAGAAAGAGAACTATAGACCCATTTCTTTGAAAAACATAGATGCAAAACTTGTCAACAAAATTCTGGCCAATCAACCTAAACGATTCATAAAAAAAATCACATACCATGATCAAACATGATTTGTTTCAGGGAATGCAAAACTGGTTCTATATACACGAATCAATTAATGTAATTCATCATATCAACAAGAGCAAGGATAAGAACCACATAATCATCTCAATAGACACAGAAAAAGCATTTGACAAAATCCAACACCCCTTTATAATGAAAGCTCTAGAAAAACTAAGAATGCATAGAACATTCCTCAATATAATAAAGGCTGTGTATGACAAACCTACAGCAAACCTTATACTTAATGACAAAAAGCTAAAGACATTTCCTCTAAATTCAGGAACACTCCTATTCAAATTACTAACTAGAGTAACAAGACAAGATGTAAATATAAAGGGGATCCAAATAGGGAAAGATGAAGTAAAACTATCCCTCTTTGCAGATGACATGATCTTGTGTTTAAAGAATTCCATGGACTCCAGTCCCAAAGTTATTCGAGCTTATTTGAAACTTTGGCAAAGTAGCAAGTATAAAATTAAACCTCAAAAATCAATGGCTTTCCTGTATGCCAATAATGAGAAAAGCACAGATAACAAAGGGTTATTCCCTTTGTAATAACCCCCATAAAAAATAATATACAGAGGAATTAACTGAAGTGAAGGGCTTTTATGGGGAAAACACTTAAAAGCCTGAGAAAAGAAATTAAAGCAGAAGTGGAAAAACCTCCCATGATCCTGGACTGAGAGAATTAACATCATGAAAATGGCAAATCTAGCTGGGCACTGATGGCTCACGCCTGTAATCCTAGATACTTAAGAGGTTGAGATCTGAGGATCACTGTTCAAAGGCAACCCTGGCAAGAAAGTCCATGAAACTCTTATCTCTACTATACCATCAGAAAACTGGAAGTAGAACTGTAGCTCAAGTGGTAGAGCACTAGCCTTGAACTGAAGAGCTGAGCGACAGTGCCCAGGCTCAGAGTTCAAGCCCCACAACCACACACACACAAAAAAAAAAGAAAAAGAAAAAGAAAATGGCAACTCTGCCAAAGGCTATCTACAAATCCATCAATATCCCAACCTCATTCTTGAATGAAATAGAAGAAGTAATCTAAAAATTCATATGGGACAATAAAAGACCTGAATAACAAAAACAATTCTTAGCAGAAAGAACAGTGCAGGAGGAATATCAATACCAAACTTCAAACTCTACTACAAAGCCATAGTAACCAAACAGCTTGGTATGGCATCGGAACAGACCTGAGAACCAATGGAATAGCACTGAAGACCCATAAATGAACCCACAAACCTAATCTTCAATAAGGTAGCCAAACAAATAGTATGGAAAAAAGATAGACTCTTCAGGAAATGGTTTTGGCAACACTGATTAAACTCCTGTAGAAAACTAAAGTTAGATCCTTATGTATAACCCTGTGCCAGAATCAACTCCAAATGGATCAAAGGCCTCCAAGTAAAAGCAGACAGAAAGAGACAACATTTTACAGGAAGGAATGGGAGAAACTCTCAGGTTCCTTGCTACAGGCCAAAATATTCTTAATAAAGATCCAGAAATGCAACAAATTAAAGAAAGTTTGGACAAATGGGATTGCATGAAACTGCAGAGCTTCTGCATGGCAAAGGGCATAGCTAACAAGATCAATAGAAAACACACGGATTGGGAGAAGATCTTCACTAGCCATACAACAGACAAAGGCCTCATATCTAAGATACTTAGAATTCAAAAAAATAAAAATAAATCCTCCAAAAGCAAACCCTCAAGGAAACAACTGCCCCATTAGTAAGTGTCTAAAGACTTAAAAAGAGACTTCTCTGAAGAAGTATAGCCAATAGACACATGAAGAAATGCTCAGCTTCTCCAGCCATAAAAGAAATACAAATCAAAACAACATTGAGATTCCACCTTACACCAGTTAGAATGGCTATAATCAAGAAATCTAATAACAACAGATTCTGGAGGGGATGTGGACAGAAGGGAACCCTAAGTGCACTGTTGGTGGGAGTGTAAACTTGTTCCACGACTCTGAAAAGCAGTATGGAAGTTCCTCAAAAGATTACACATAGAGCTCCCCTATGACCCAGCAATCCCACTTCTGTGCATTTACCCAAATGACCACAAACAAGCTACCAGCACAACTTTGTTTATCACAGCAATATTCACCATATCTAAGATATGGAAGCATCTGGGTTGTATATACAATGGAGTTCTCTGCTTCCATCAGAAAGAATGACATTGCCCCATTTGTAATGAAATGGAAAGACTTGGAAAATTATATTAACTGAAGTAAGCCAGACCCAAAGATACATAGGTCCCATGGATTCCCTTATTTTCAATAAGTAGTATACGTCTAGGATAATGTTAGAAGATGATCAGAATAGCTCAATAGCTATGTAAATATGACCATATAAGGTGATGCTAAGGGAAATGACTTCCAAGATATGGATACAAGAGGATTTTCTTTGTTGTTGTTGTTTTTAATGTACTATATGATTTCTTGTTTCTTTTGTACATCCTGCCCCCTATGGTATATCCCCTGTTGTTACTGTATTTGATTTTGGTACCCTGGTATTGTATATAGGTTTATTTGAATTATGGAAGGGAAGGGGAACAACAGAATGGTGAGACAAAGGACAAGGGGGGATCAATGCAACAGTGATATATACAAGATAATATGTTGGAAATAATCTGCACATCTTGGGGTGGGGTTGGGGGAGAGGGAAAGTAGGAAAAAATTGAGGGAAGGGGTATCAAGGTTGTCAAGAAATGTACTCTTTACCTTTCTTATGTAACTGAAACCCCTCTGTACATCACCTTGACAATTAAAAGAACTAAATAAAAAGAAAGAATAGAATAAGGATGTGATTTTATTTTTTATAATGAAGGAATATTAATAGAAAATATATGAACTAGTTATTATTTTCCATGATTAAGATTATCCAGTAAATACTTCCATCCTTCACAATGGAAGATATAGGACATTTTTTTTGCCCACTTAAAACTTTGCAAATTAAAGAAAAAGTAATTTGTGTGCTAAGAGAAAATAAGATTAGAACAATATTGTTGATGTTGCCAAATAAAACCTTTATTTTACCAATTTTATAATAAGTAATAGTTAATATTTTCTATCAGATAACAATTTACCAGTCAACATCTAACTGAACTAAGTCCTTATTTTGTAGATTACATTTCATTACTTTTCTATTATAACCAAAATCATCCTTACTAATTTACATTGTGACTTTGAGTTTATAACATCTTATAAATTAATTCTAAATTACATATATACCATTTAGAATTCTTATGAAGTATTATATGCTAATTTGTTCATTTTTATCTGTCTCAATTCAAGACTTTTACTGTATGTATTTGCAACCTTAATTCTTTTTTTCAGGGAAAGAAACTCATAGTGTTCACTGATGAGGGCAAAATGTAAATGGAAGAACTGAAATTTGACATTGCAAAAGTCAAGTATTCCTAATGCCTTAGGAGAGACTGCATATAATTTAGTTTACTATTGTAGTTTGTAATAAACTTTTTCTTTGAACAAAATGTATTAGTCTACAAATCTACTATAAATTGATCAAAAGTGATGTGAAATACTATGAACAACCTAGATCAAAACAAACCAACATCAGTGAGTTTTCTGGGGTCTGCTTGGTGTCTGCTGTTGGTCCTCTCCAAGTCAATGAAGTTCTATTTATTCTGTTTCTTAATTGGCAAAATTGAACACATAAATACTAACTACCAAATACTTGTTGGTATCACTGAAATGGAATAATAAACCAAAAATATGTAGGCCAAGAATGTAGGACTGTGAGTTTGATTTTTCTGCATACATACCCAAATGGTCTAAAGCAGTGTCATAGCACAATTATTTTATGATAAATAATTTTATTGATATACCTCTAAACACACAGTTACTTCACCGAAAAATCTACGGTGTGTATTTTTTTTTTTTTTTTTGTCGGTTGTGAGGGCTGAACTCTAGGCCTGAGTACTTTCCCTCAGCTCTTCAGCCTAAGGCTAGAGCCCTACTACTGAAGCCAGAGTGCCACTTCTGACTTTTTTTTCTGCTTATGTGGTGCTGAGGAATCAAACCTAGGGCCTCATGCATGGGAGGCAAGCATTCTACCACTGAGTCAATTTCCCAGCCGTAAGATGTGTTTTTTTTTTTTTTTTTTTTAATCATGGACAAAGGGATAAGAGTTATAAAAATCTATCTTACACATTTCTTAATTTTAAGAAAATTCTGTTGACTCTGGCTGTCCAATGCATATGATTTAGAGTGGAATTTTATAGTAGGATTGGTATTTTTTTATGTGCAAAGAAATAAATAGGGTTTTCCACACAATAGCTTAGAACCAGGCAACAACTTTCTATATAATAGACATCGCAATTTGTCTTTGTCAGAGAGCTTTCCTAGGCAACTTGCAC